ACTGTTGCACATCACCCCGGACTACATTTCCCATCATGCATTGCACTGATTGCACTCAGCACGGATTGCACACAGCTGTTTACACTGATTGCACCCAGCTGCTTCATATCACTCCCTCACTATTTAACACTCACTCTGATCCCTTCCCTCTGCCGAGTATTGTCTAGCGATTATCACTCTCCTAGCGATAGCTACTCTACAGAGCCCCAGGTCGTTTTTCCCAGCCTTAGCCTTAGCCTAGTTTTGCCTTGTCTGTCTCCTTCGGTTTTGATCTTCGCCTGTTTTCCTGGACTTCTCCCTTTAGTCTTGCCCCTGTGACTCTGTCTGCCTACCGTCGACCCACGCTAGCCCTGTGACTATTCTTGTGTCTTGCCCGCCATATTCCTGGTTGCCACTGATTACCCTGCCTGTCTGATGACCATGTCTCTGTCTTCTCCAAATAAAGCTTTGCATATGGATCCGCACGTCTCACGTCTCGTCAGCCCCGTTACAAATCTCATTCAAAATCCCTTTCTTTATCTGCCTGGCATGAGATTAAACCACTACACGACTCACAACACAAGTATCTGAAAAGTTGTTTAGCAATCACACAGTGAAATATAGCAGCATCATTCACACTTAATAGAAAAGATCTCAACTTTCTACAACACATTACATATTGATTGTTAATGTTTAATAAAAATAAAATGGTAAAAATAATATTACGATTGTAAAATTAAGTATGAATATTAAGTAAATCATTGTATTAGAGTATTTTGTAACAAAAAGATGTCATGTAAAATATGCATGACGGAAATGAGAATGAGATTTTTGCATTACAGTTAAGTGAATTTGAGAGGGAAATGTGCACAATCATGAGAACAATATCACATTGCAAAACAATGCCCTAAAAATAGGCTTAATTTTGTTTATGCAAAATAAGAATTCTTATATTTTACCTCTGTGACCTGGACATGTTTTGGTACAGTATAGAGGATGAATATGTTTTCTCTGCACATTACAAATAAACACTATGCATCACTTGCAAAATAAAGTGAGTATTCTGCCAATAAAATGCATGTGCTTCCTGCTCAAAACCCACAGTATACAAGTTTAAATTTCATCTGAACTGTTAACTGCATGTTGGTCAATGTGGTGGAAGCAATGTGTTGCAATGTTTAAGTCATGATTCTGCATTAAAGCAACCTTTTAACTCTTTGATAGTGTCACATGTGTACTTGGCTATAAATTTTTTTACAGGAAATATTCATAGATCTAACTTTATAGACTTGACTTCATTTGGAAATACATGAGCTTGGTTTATTGAGTACATGTACAGTAAATGAACATACTTTCCAGAAGGCCAACAATTCACTAAAAATGTTTTTTTTATTGGTCTTAATTTGTTGAGATAGTGAATTGGAGTTTTTTTGTTAAATGTGAGCCAAAATCTTCACAATTAAAAGAACCAAAGACTTAAACTACTTCAGTCTGTGTGCATTGAATTTATTTAATACACGAATCTCACAATTTGAGTTGAATTACTGAAATAAATGAACTTTTCCACAACATTCTAATTTATTGAGATGCACCTGTAAAGTGCTTGTATTGATGCTCTACTGCAGTATATGGCTGGAAAAACAAACTACTGGGTGACACATCCGTGTGTTTTTTTCAGAATCAGAATCAGAATCAGAATGAGTTTTTATTGCCAGGTATGTTTACACATACGAGGAATTTGTTTTCATGACAGAAGCTCCACAGTGTAACAGAATGACAGTGACAGAACAAAAACACAGATAATAAAAAATAGAAAAATAGAACAAGTAACTAAGGAATAATTTTTGCTGCAAAACAAAGCTTTCACTCTTAAATATTAGATATAAAAAAATATTAAATGTGACCCTGGAGCACAAAACCAGTCTTAAGTTGCACGGGGATATTTGTAGCAATAGCCAAAAATACATAGTATGGGTCAAAATTATAGATTTTCCTTTTATGCCACAAATCATTAGGATATTAAGTAAAGATCGTGTTCCATGAGGATATTTTGTAAATTTCCTACCGTAAATATATCAAAACTTTAGTTTTGATTAGTAATGTGCATTGCTAAGGACTTCATTTGGACAACTTTAAAGGCTATTTTCTCAATATTTCGATTTTTTTTGCACCCTCAGATTCCAGATTTTCAAATAGTTGTATCTCGGCCAAACCTAACAAACCATACATCAGTGGAAAGCTTATTTATTTATCTTTGAGATGATGTACAAATCTCAATTTCGAAAAATTGACACTCAAGACTGGTTTTGTGGTCCAGTGTCAAAAAATGTACAGAGATTGTGTCTCAAAATCTAAGGAGATGCCTGCTTAAACGCGTTAAAAACGCAGTGTGATAGCCTAATATGCTGTCTAGGTAGGGCACTACATTTTGAAACACAGCTAAGTTAACTTGGACTTTTCCCGGAGCAGAGGAGACCCCGGATGAAATAAATCGAAACATTTGGAACTGACAAAATATATGTTTCTATGTAACTTACGGTATATTATTTGTTTATTGTTGTATCTAGTCTGTAAGTTTACGTTCGTGTACCAGCTGACGTGGAAACACTCACCTGACTCGCTTTATAAAACTGTTTCTTTAGTCCGGCAACAGACATCTTTGCGTCGGATCCTTTCGCTTTAACAACTTAAGATTTAATTTAATTCACCCAGTATTTAAAAACAAAACTCTAGGCTTCTAGAGAACTGTGAAAAAGCAAACTCTCGCAATCTCTTCTTCCTGATCGGACCTGCAGTGAGCGCGTCACACCACATCTACACTGCGACGCGACGCGACTAGAACGCTCCCATGCACGCGTCGCGCATAATAAGAGAGTTCTGATTGGTCGACTGGTTGCCAACGTCAGGATTTCATCGCTCACATTTGTAGCATGTTTCAAAAGCTTCCAGTACTAAACATGTGACGTTCTTTCAATGTATTTATATTACGTAATTTGTATTGTTGTAGGTATTTTGTTATGCATCTCTGGCAATAGAAGAAATAATAATGAGGCGTAACTATCTGATCTGATTGGCAGATTGAGTGCGTCGCGATGCTTGCAGAGATAAAAACTTAAGATTGATCTACCTGTGTGTTTAACAGTTTGTTACTACGTTTTCGCTAAAAACAGCATGCAGTCAGACAGCATTAATTCATTGAAATCCATAAAAAAATATATATATATTAAAAAGACCCCATAACAAAAACGCCTATCCCCACCTACATTATATATCATTTTTGATATGCCAGAGTGTCATATAAGTATATTATGAGATTCAACTGAACTGAAACTAAGCTGAAATCAAATTCAGTGAAGTAGACAAATCACAAGCGACAACATTTCTTTTTCAAGAATAAAATCCATCTTTAGTTTTTATTTGTTTTATTTCATTTTCTTTCATTTAGTCATATTCTGTGTCTTATAATTCCGGCTAAAAGAACCTGTAATAGTACATTAGCAGAAAGAGGAAAGGTCTTTGACACTTTGTGATTGACATTCACAAAAAATATATATATTTAAATATAGCTACAGGACACAGTGATCAAGAATACGGGTCTCCTATTCGGTGCAAAGTGTGTATGTGTGTGTGTGTGTAGTCGGCAGAGGATACTGGTGAGAGAGAGACCAGCCATCTCCCTGAGAATCAATCTTTTTTTGTGTGAAACACACAGAGCAGAAGCATTTCTTCTACAAAAATGAAATAAACTTGAAACCACAGAAATTGCTTTACAGGGTGACTGAATGAGACAAACACAATTTCGTCTTTACAGGAAGGCATGCATCAAAGGCCTAGAGGTGGGGATTGTCAAACCAACACATTTAAAAATACATTACACAGACAGAACTCCCATACTTCTCATTCTTAAACAAGGGCAGGCTACACTCCTTGATGGGAGATGCTGTAATGTTGGGCACACAAAAAGAAGACCGATTTCCTCTTGTTCATTAAAAATCGAGATACAACACCACATTTGATCTCTCATACAGAATACAAGCTCATTCATTTATATGAATCGCCTTAACCAGTTGTGTAGTATATACAGTAGTACTATAAACAATACAGTGAACCTCGATGGCAGAGAGCTCCGTCGAATCTTTGTTTTGGTGCAAGAGTATGGAAAAACAGGATGGAAGGATGCGATCCGGGCCACAGAAATGGACAAAATGAGATGCATTCAACAATTTACAAAATAATACAATAGAAACCACACTGGCCACAAGATGCATGTGGCATATCTGTACCCGAAACCTGCTGGACTGAGCTTCTGAATCAGTTTCTCTAGTTCTTTTCTTCAGGTTTGTGAAAACAATGCTTTAGCATGTGAAGCCCACCAGACAGGTGATCCTTTTGGAGGAAGTGTCTCATAACATCAGGCTGGGGTCATCAGGGTCGCCCCAGCTCTGTGTGTGTGTCCCAGAGAACAAGCTGTTGAAAAGCCATCCAGCTTGGCTCGGAATAACTGTCCATCTCCTGTAAGTGTTCCATCCGGATCACTTATAGAGGGCATGTTCCGGAACAAAATCCATGCCAGTTCATCTTTTGGGTCCGGTATTCCCATGCACATGCTGGAGGAACTCAAAAGCCGGCTGATGAAAGTCCTGGCTCATTGGTTTTTTAAACATTTCTCTTCCTGCTCCACCTTTCTGTCTTTCTCTTTCTTGACTTAAATGTACTAATTCATTTACATTCCTATTCAAAATAATCTTTTAGAAATGTCCATATGAATTAAATGAACATTTAACTTTTTTTAATCTAAAGTGGCATTTACAAGGGAAGGGGATGTGGGACTGAGGTTACTCATTGCATTAAAATGACAAAAATAAAATAAGATGCAGCACCAAACACTGTCAAAATGTGCCTGAGCAAACAAGAGCATGTGTGGGTGGAACAAATGTGTCAAATGTTGTATTTGCCAATAGAGTGCAACAGTCTGATTCCGGAAGTTTTTTTTTTTAACAATAACATCTGTTTAAACAGCTCTGAGGTTGTTAACTGATGGTTTATACTTTGGTAAAGCAATCTTTTTCACATTATGTTTACAACAAGCATGTTTAACAGCGGAATTTGTCATGGAAAAACTACATTACCCATGATGCTGTGAGGACAAGCTCACCAATCAGAGAGTCGCAAAGGCAAATCTCAGCAAAACAGCTTGCAGGGAACGCAAATGACACGAGTCAGTCAAAATTCTTAAATATTTGTATATATATGCATATCTTGAAATACACTTAAAATATACTATTTCTTTTGATTAAATCCAAAACTTAAAAAACATCATTTTTAACTCTATTTTCAATCGAAGTGCTTGGGATTGTAGTTTTTTCCCCTCACTAAAGCCATGAAGTACACAATCTTGTACCTTTTTAGTTTTTTTTGTGTCCAATTTTCAATTAGTTTCTGCTTGAACTAAAAGTTTGTAATGTAGTAATTTCTTCTCACAGCTGGTTAGTTTGGTTCAAGGCTTTAACAAAACCTTTTTTTAAATCCCTATGGGGGAAAAAATGAATAGAAAAAACACTTCCGAAACCAACACTGCTGAAAAAGTGGACAGGCACTAATGCACTCTATGTAAATTATGATTTTTTTTTATGTATGCATAACCTAAAACATATTACATTTCCCACTTTTCACTTTTTTTGTGTTTTCTGGGTCAGACTTTTGTGCAGAACCAGTTTCAGTCAAACAGATTCCTCACCTTATCCAGTTTCTCAGTAGTGGCTCGGTTCATGTGCAGGCTGTGCTGAAGAGCCACGTAAACTTTCTCCTGGAGCTTCTGCACCTGCTGAGACTCTGCCAACCACGGCCGATCTGAGCAAAATAGAGCAGAGGTTTCAAACTGTGAGAATGTGTCTCATTTCATTCTTGTGTGCAAGTCTGACCATGGCACATATTTCTCTTTCCAAGAGCACATACACCCAGCCTTATAAACCTTTGCTTCAGGAAATTGGTAGCAGACATGCATGCAAGAGTCTCACCTGGAGCCAGCAGGACCGCGGCGCTGAATAAAGCCATTTCCTCATCACTCAGTTGAAGTCGACTCAGACTTTTAGCCAACTCAAAGACAGCGTTCACCAGGTCATCACACCCTACAAATACATAAACATACAGTACACATGCTGGTTACCATGCTGAAGATGAAGAAACAAATTACATTTCCGTTGAGGGCCATAATTTGCTCTTTTGATTTAGCATGAAATGATTTAATGGATCTATTGGGTTCCAGTCATTCTAAAGGAAATTATAAGATGTTCTGGGTACAAAGCTTTAGGTTATTTGTGAGAATAACAGAGATTTAAGCAATAAAGCACAACAAGCTTTGCTTTATCATGGATATCACAGCTGGCCTCTGTTTATATTGTGCATTTTATCATAAAAGGAAGGCTGCATTTAAAGTTTAACAGATCTTTTCTTCCATCATATTCCTTTCGAATATAATGGATTATCAAAAAAGAAAAATGGCAGGCACTTGATTCAATGTATTGGCTGTTGATTGGATATTGAGATGCGTGTTGCGTTCAAAAATGAAGGCAGATGACAGCTTGGAGTAGTTGTGTTTAAGCAGACTAAATGACTGGAGAAGTCCTGCTAATATGTGACCCTGGACCACAAAACCAGTCATAAGAGCTGAATAAATAAGCTTTCCATTGATGTATGGTTTGTTAGGATAGGACAATATTTGGTCGAGATACAACTATTTGAAAATCTGGAATCTGAGGGTGCAAAAAAATGTAATATTGAGAAAGTCGCCTTTAAAGTTGTTAAAATGAAGTTCTTAGCAATGCATATTACTAATCAAAAATTACGTTTTGATATATTTACAGTAGGAAATTTACAAAATATCTTCATGGAACATGATCTTTACTTAATATCCTAATGATTTTTGGCATAAAAGAAAAACCTATAATTTTGACCCATACAATGTATTTTAGGCTATCGCTACAAATATACCCCAGCGACTTAAGACTGGTTTTGTGGTCCAGGGTCACATATCAAAAGTCGTCTGTCATTTTCAGAAGCTGCAGGTGTGATATTTTAATTAAACATTAAACAAGTAATTAAAAAATAAATAAATAAAATTAAACATGCATGGATAAATTTTTCACAATATGATCTGTAACGTGCATTCAGAAAATAGTATGAATTTCATTTCATGCTTTAAGCATACTCAATTTGAAACAACAACAACAACAAATAAAATAAAGAAGTGGTACAATCTACAAATCATTCTACAAGCTTATTCCAAGAATAAAGGTTTTTATTTGATATATTATGTGCCAAGAGTGCTTTCCGCAATGCTTCCATTTAACTTTGATGAGCTATTACTCACCCGAGCATCGCTTGTATTCACTAACTGGGTTAAAAACCCATTAGCTCTTGTGGCTTATTGATTCATAACGCCTCTGCTCTTGCTCTTAAGAGGCTGCTGGTGTTTTGCATTATAAGGTAAAAGAGGATGTGTTTAAAGTGGAATACTAGAGTACTCAATACTGCCTACAATTTTTTTTCCAGATAGTTATGGAACTGTATAAATTTCAAATAGCAGCTTGCTGCTACATTGTTATCACATGCCCTCATTACATTTGACACTAAACCACTACCTAATCTTACCTGCATGTTTAGTTTCGCAAGAGTATCTAGTTATACTACCAAAAATTTTATTTTGCATTTGCAATACATTTTTGTATGTTAGCATCCTATTCTGAATTCACTGATTTCATCTAGTTAAATTGAAATTGAGTAAAACGGAGTGCATTAAATTATGGGATGCCTGAACCCAGTATGAATGTGTCGTACATTGCACATTTTAGCAAATATAGCCGGTCAACCATAGGTATTCTATGTAAAATAGATTACACTTTACTTAAAGCCTTTATATATAATGCTTAGTTTTAATGCATTAATTATGCCCTGTAAGACACCTTATAATGCATTGTTTGATTTCATGAGCAATTGTAACCACAGTTATAATACACTATAATACTTGCATACCTAAATGCATCCAATTCTGTAGATATCCAGACACTCACCGAGAGCTTTGAAGAGCTGAGGAATGGCAAACTTGCCATCAAAAAACATAGTGTTGTTTGAAGAGTTGTAAGCACGGCACATTCGGATCAGCAGGATTTCCAGACATCCTGGAACAGTAATAGAGAGAAAGAGAGGAGGGGAAAAGCAGAAAAGACAGAGGACAGAGACAAGAAGAAAGACAGACACAGAAAGATAAAGGAAAAAAAGAGTGCAGGGGGGAGCGGGAATATGCTCCACCGTGCAAAAATGCAGACAGCAAAATAAAAAAAATTATAATTTTTCTCCAAATATGGGACCATCAAACACCATGAAAATGAAAATTCATTGTGTTTGTGATCGTTTTAAATGACATTCAGTAAAAATTGTTTAGTGAAGGTTTATTTTATTTTTATACGGTAAGCACAAAGAGTAGTAGTAGACAGAATGTTGGAGAAACAAACACAAGAGGAGACAAACGTTAGTGCAAGTTTCAAGTTTAAGATCGAACACCGAAAAACATATACAGAACTGAATCCAGTGGGGCAGATTCACAAAACAGTTGCGCCACTTTTGCACGTCATTATTCTGATGCAAAAGCTGCATTTTATTGTATTAACTATTCTACATGAGCATTAAGTTCATTAAGTTATTGTGTCTCTGTATATTTTTATTAACTCTGGAATCAGAAAATCATTGTTATAAAACGGATAGTTCCGGTCTTTGATTGTGATTGGTTGAGCCGCGTTCGAAGCTGTTGTAAATTACACTACATGTTGGAAGCACAACAATTTCTGAGGAACTACATTGTTTGGCTGAAGAATACTGTTTTTATTTATATCATTACACTTTATTTGCTCTGTTTTATTCTGTGAAACCTTGCTACGTATATGGAATAACCGTCGTGCCTAACAACGCCCCGTAGCTGCTATAAATTCACTGTAAACCACGGCTTCACGGGGCTTATTGTTTAATTGATGGTAAAATAATGGAGAAATGCATTCTATCCAGGCATATTTCCCCAGCACAGTGCAGTCGGGCACACAGGTATTTTAAAAAGAAGAATTTACGGTCTTTGGTATATGGAAACTTATTTCCACAATGGAATGTAAAAAAAAAAAAAGAAAAAGTTATTTTTATCTCAAAATTCTGACTTTTTTACCCTCACAATTCTGAGAAACAAGTCAGAATTGCAAGATGTTAACTTACAATTCTGAGAATTTTTTTACAGTTTGATTTAATTCTATTCTAAGGATTTAATTCTTTAAATTTAATTCTTAATTTGAGTTATAAACTATATACATGTTATATTTCAAAAACATTGGGAGTAAAAAAGTTGCAATTACCTTTATTTGTCCTTTTCCCCCCAGAAATGAGTTTATTTCTCAATTCTGAATAAAGCAGTCCGGATTTTGAGAAAAAGTTAGAATTGTGAGATAAACTGCAATTACCTTTTTTAATTCCTTAGCAGAAATAGGCTTGTTCTTGCTTTTTTTCTTGTTCTCGCAATTCTGAGTTTATACCTCGCGATTAAGAGTCCTTATTACTTAGAGTAAAAAAGCTTGTTCTTATTTTGTTCCTGCAATTGTGAGTATACATCTCACAATTCTGAGTTTGTATCCCGCAAATCTGAAACAATGTTAGAAGGACTGAAAACTGCCCTGTGCAAATTGCACTCAACACTATTTTTGTGGGTGTGTGTGTGTGTTTGCCATTATCTGAACTGCATGTCAATATCTGCTCTCAGAGTATTCTGGATGTAGTATGAAAGACAACACTAAAGAAGCCAAGTGTGTTCTGGAATGGTGTTAGAACATTACCAAATGTGTTTAAACTAATAAAGAGATTGAACAGCCGCTCAGGGCCACATCAGAAATGCCACATTACGGTAGTGAGAGGATAAAGTGATGTGAGTGAGAAATCTGTTGTATAATCTGGGATGACTCATCTGTAATCCGCGTGAGACAAAGGCAGCACTGACCTGCTTTGAGCAGGATGATCTGGTCGTTCTGACAGAGGTCCATGAATCCAGAGATGCGCTTTGCGAACTCTACAACGTACTGGATGGCATTTGTAATGTGCAGGGCGCACTGCTGCCACATCCATTCTGCAGACTGAGTGCACAGAGATTGTTAAAACATTTGTTGACAAAGAGACAAATCAGCAAGCACAGTTGCATGATTGACCATCTATTTATGTATTTGTCTAATATGTCATGTAATATGCTAATGTTGTACCTTGAGCTGAAAGCTGCGGGTTTCTTCAGGTGTGTAGATGTTCCAGGTAAGTTTCTTCAGCTCTTCTGAGCTGTACTGACACGTCTCCAGGTGAGACTTCACGACATTTTGAGTGATTCGCTCTGAACGGAAATTCAACACACATTAACACATTTTCCCTTAGAATTTGTCTATTTAGACGTAAATAAATCCTTAGATAAATGGACTAATTATATGGACAAATTATAATTAAGGTAAAAAATATACACAGATTATATAATCTATAAAAATAACCATATAAAATAGTTCAATTTAATTATTTTGCATATTTACACAGGGCATAATGAAATAGATTTTATATAAATTATTTATAAAAAATGTGCATATATTATATATATATATATATATATATATATATATATATGTGCATTACAAGGCATAATTAATGCATTAAAACGACTTTGATAATGCATCATACATAAAGGCTTTATGTAAATTGTTTTTACAATTTTTTTTTACTGTAATAACACAGTACCAACACAAGAGGATTTTCATTGTATTATAGTAATGAGCATTTTTGAGGAAAATTGTTACTAAAGTAATGTCAAAATGTAATTCATCTTAATTTTGTTATATTAGCATAATGATTAAAACAAATCAAGGACAAGATCATAAAATGAGAAGCTCTAATGACAGCTCACCTATGTCGTGTAGAGAGCAGTTGTCTGGTAGAGATCCCAGGAGAGAGTGCGTAAGAAGACTGTTTTCAGACAGGATATACTCATGCTTCACCCTCACTGCTTCCATCAAATCTGCAGCGCTGGGCGCTGGAGAGCTCTGATTGGACGAACGTCCGCTTCCGGTACTCCCGGACCTTCCGCCGCCCCCAAGCATCTCTAGAGTGCAGTACTCGCTCGCCTCCTCTGGGGTGAGCGGCAGGTCGAACAGCAAACCGTCGGGCAGCGTGGCGATGTCGTCCAGGTCGCTGAGGGTGGAGCTGGAGCCTCCGCTGCTGTAAGGCCGGCTGTGCACGCTGTCTTCACCCGTCTCTTCACGGTCACGTGGTGCCAGACCACCACCCAAACCCACCAGGCACTCCTGAGACAGCTGCTGGTGCCGCTGCACCTCCGCGTACAGGCTGTCCCGCTGTTTCTTTGACATTCGGCCAAACTTCACCGCTACAGAAAGAAAAAGTATTATATAGTCACTTAGTATTACATACCATTAATATAATTGATTTGTAGTGTTTATTTACAGATGTTTTAGTTCTTTTATTCAGCAAGGATGCAAAAACTGATCAAAAGTAGCAGCAAAGGCATTTAGGATTTTCATTCATAAGAAATAGATTTCTATTTCAAATACATGCTGTTTTTTTATTTCTATTCATTAAAGAATCATGAAAAAAATGCATCCACAAAATGTTAAGCAGCACAACTGTTTTCAAAATTGATAATAAGAAGAAATATTTCTTGATCAGCAAATCAGAATATTAGAATGACTGCATATTAATAATGATGCTAAAAATTCAGTTTTGCATCACAGGAATAAATTACATTTTAAACTACATGAAAATACAAAACTTTCATTTTAAATTGTATTAATTTTTGATTAAATAAACAGCAATAAAAATATTAAATAGTAGTAATATTTATTACTGCATAAATGACTGTTTAATTATTTAAATATGATTTTAATTTAATTATAAAATATTTTTGATTGCTTCCATTGTCCTCATTTGTAAGTCGCTTTGGATAAAAGTGTCTGCTAAATGTCTAAATGTAAATGTAAATTATATGTATAAAACTATTAATGATTTATTTGCAAAACTGTAATGCCATACATAAAAAATTATATTTCATTAATAAAAAACAAACACATTTTTCATATAGCCCTAACTGCTTCTCCTGTTTTGTGCAAAATATAATTTCTTGAATAAATATCTAAGACTACTACACAGTACGTGTATTTTTTTAATGGTAAAAATAACTAGCTCTTAATTTATCTTCAAAATATGGGGTCTTAAATTCACACTTCTAATTCTGTTACAGTGAATCATCCAAGCAAAAGAAACATTATACTTGTCATCTGATACATAGACCAGTAGGTCCTGATTCAAGACTATCAATAAATAAAATGTATGACTATGTAAACTACTTTAAATAAACAGGCTCATATGGTTCTAAACATAATGCAGGTATCTGAATTTGATGAAATCATGCACAGGTTCTTCACATTCTCACATCATGATCATTCAATCAATCTAACTGTGACTGAATAAAACCAAATAGCCACAAAAATCATAATTGTTGGCATGAAGTCTTCCTCAGCTGCCCTTTGACCCTGCTTCTCCTCGTGTAGAACTTTTATTTGAGTCCTGGTTTCTAAAATTCAGTTTTCTGACTGCTGGTGGGCTAGACTTGCGCTCACCATCACGGCTCATGCCGAGCGCCAGGCACTTCTGCAGACGACAGTGTTGGCAGCGGTTCCTGTTGGTTCGGTCAATCTGGCAGTTTCTCTGCCGCGAACACGAGTACATGGCATTGTTCTGCTGGCTGCGTCGGAAAAAACCCTGCAAAACAGAAACGTACCTTAGCGTACAGGATGGCTAAGATCAGGTGCGGCTTTCATAGGTGTGCCCTGCCACCGCATGACGAACATAAAGTAATATAAACTGACCCAGAAATCAGAACAAAAACATCGGGATAAAAGATAAGGAGGGACAGAGCACAAAAGGATCATTTTGCTTGCGTATGTAGAAATGAACTCTACAAAGTGCACATCTAGGGTAGGAAAAGAAGGAAATATAATATAAAAATCAATAGGGTATTACACCAGAATTCTTACCTTGCACCCTTCACATGTAATAACGCCATAGTGAATCCCAGAGGATTTGTCGCCACAGATCTTGCATGGTATTACCTCAATTTGAGCTGGAATAAAAAAAAAACAAGCATCGTTTTAAGCATTAAAAGCAAAAACATATGCATGAATCACACAGAAAAGCACATATGCACAAATATTGTTTTGACATGCACCACAAATAATATCAACCAATGAAGATCACAGTCAGATAGGGAGATCTCTCTCGCTTTGCATGGCATGAGGGACAGAAATAGCCAGAGGATTGATTTTCTGACTGAAGGGTGTATTATGTCTTGGCTTTATGAGAGGCCTTGATACGACTCATGTGATCAGTGGAACACAGTGTAGGCACTTTTAGAAACTAGATGCCTGGATTCCATATACAGACAGACATTAAACTGATATTTCCTAATTAACAGTAAACATTATGTAAATAAGTACTCAATTATTGACAAAAACTAACTAAATAAAAATTAATTCATTAATAAATGAAAGGATGAATGGAAAAAAAGTGCTTTATGATAACACAATTATTATGCAATAAAACATACTTTCATAGTTATATGCAAACAATTATTTATTATTGTGGAAAAACAAAAAATAATGAATTCATCAATAAATAAAAGAACAAAATAAATTATAAATAAAAATAAACAATGTGCTAACTACACAATTATTAGGCAATAAAATATTTTAATATTTATATTTAATTATATAAATGTTTTCATATGTAAACAAGTTTTCAATTGACTAAAAAAACTAACTAAATAAAAAGTGAATGCATTAATACATGAAAAAAATTAAAATAAACATGTTTTTATATGTTTAATTATAACAGTTTGACCTAAAAACTTCATATAGATGAGACAGACAGACAGAGATAGATAGATAGATACATTAGATAGATGATAGATAGATAGATCAATGAATTAAAAAAAGAAATGAGTTTTGAGATCACATTTATTATGCAATCATTTTCTTTATTTCATATTTTTCATATAGTGACAATGGAAAAAAAACCCAAAAAAATACCTAAGCTTGCAAAAACATCCTCAGTATAAAAAAAACATCCTCCATTTTGTCTTTCTAGCTCTGTCAGCTGAAAGCAATGACCAAGATACACTGTGGCATGCAATGGAAAAATCTGTGAGCCCTTGGGTGCCCCTCCCGTACCGCTCTCTCTGTAGTGTTATATAACCTTCGTCTGCAAACATTCCACAAACACGCTATTCAGGGCTGCTCAGTCTAATAATGCAGATGTTCCGCCTCCCTGCCACTTCTCACAGCCTATTGGTTTACGTTTGGGCAGATGTGTCTGTGATTGGCCGGCTCTGAGTGTCGCTCTATTCGGCCTGGCTGTAAGCCCATGTGGACTCGCTGTCCTACTGACATACTTTCTCAGTGAAAAGGGGAGGGCGGCTGTGGGCGGATCCTCGGTGCATGCCATTTGAACAGGCCTTTCCCTTCTCTCGGTTAAGGTGGAACTGGTCTCGATGGGAATTTTGACATGCAAGAACAGGGGCAAGACAAAAGAAATGTATTGTATACATTTTTGTCTAGGTAATACTCTGTATAATCAATAAAATGTTATATGAATATTGTGATTACCATTACTATTATGATATTATTTTATATATTAAATAATACATGTTTAACCTAAAATGTTGACGAAAAAAGTGCATTAACACATAATGTGCATGTACTGTGTGTGTGCATATATATATATTTATTATATATATATATATATTATATATATATAATTATTATACAATCATTTTATAAATTCAATTAAAAAAAAACTTTTAAGAGGCTATTCTCATCTTTTTTTAATTGGCTTTTTTATTTAAACCTGCTAGATTTGCTGTTTAAAAACAGTTACAAGTTGAAAAAATGTTTTCTGATGCATTTCATGAGGAATCCTGACCTAAAAATACCTAAATGTACTCATGTGTTTCATATTAGCATCACTAAGGAACCATGATCCTTTAGTTTCCACAGTCTCTTACATCCTAAATGCCATTTGTGTGATATAATGGAGAATAAACAAAACAAAAAAAAAGGACAGATGAAGAATGGAATTATTTATGTGCATGGCGCTTCAGGAAAATGGTTCAAATCTACTTTGAGTGGCAGCCGCTGTTATCGGTGTTTGCGTGCAGGTGCTGTAATGCAATCAGCTTTCAGCAGAGAACACTGTGTTAATCAGTAAAGTCTAACTTGGTGACATAACAAGACGACAGATTAGATTAAGCACAAGAGCACAACAGATTTTCACCATAGGCATTCAGGATAATGCTAAAGGAGCCACTGACCCAACAAATATCACAAGAACAACCTTAAACTTCTATTTTAAAGCCTTGCAATGACAATGCATAAGCTTGAAAGTATAAACAATCATTTAAATGTAGGCAATTGTGTATCATTTTTCAGTTTGGACTAAAGCGCGTGCAATAAGGTTTAGTCGTGTTTCTAATCGCAAATGAATTATCCCACAATGATGCATCTGTCTTGTCACAGTGATGAGCAGAAGGGCTTCTGGTCACGAGGTTGGCATATGTAGGCCAGTGTAAAGAACAATGATTTAACACCTCGCCTATTTTACATAACATAACACATCCCCAAGCGATGTGAAATCCTGATGCTTCACACAGATAGAACAGAATTACGCTGTAGTTTCTGATAAGACAGTCGGTCAGTGTGTCAGTAAGTCACTATTGGTTTCTGCTGTCTGGTCGTCATGAAACCAAGGTCATTCATGCCATGTTCCCATTAAAGACTGCACTGATGCCAACCAAACATAAAATAAGATCCAATCATCTAACGGCTCTAAATGGGAAAACAGCTGCTTTTATGCATGCATCTGTGTGCGTTTTCTTTACCGTGAAGCCATTATCGTCATTTTAGTGTTGACTAAATAAAAAGGAAGGCTTATTATTAGAACACAGAGAATGCGAGTTACATGATGACACAAAACAGACCACGCAAAATGTCCAGGTTTTACATTAAAAAAAAAATTCCTGACAAAGTGCAGATCTGCTGTTTTTCAATAGAGTATATATATATATATCACCCGCTACAGCCTCATGTAGCCTCATGTCCTTTCCTTTCCTTAGCTGCCCTGTGAACATGAGCCACGCTGAGTATATTTAAACACAGCCCCACCTCACGACAGTATGTCCGGACACGTACGCCCGCAACTGCCTTTAACATTTCCTCACGTCCTTCCTCACATAGACAAAATCCTCACTTTGAGCTTACAGACAAAGAGTCTGGATCTTTGATTGAATTCACATATTTATTATGGTTTTACAGAATAACCATAGTTTTAAAGTGGAAACTTTTCATTGTCATCGTAAATTATTGTCGCAGTGCTTTTTATATAAATTTTATATAAATACTATGCACTAGAATTTATGTTCATTTAATTTTATAACATATTTAATAAATGAATTTTTTCCACTATGTGAGAAGAAAGAAAGTGCAGAGTGGGATTAACCATGCAAACTTGCCACTGTCATCGTAAATTAACATCATAGTGTTTATGTTCAGTTTTTATTTGATGATATATTTAATAAATAAATACGTGAGCCTGGAGCACAAAACCAGTCTTAAGTCGCTGGGGTATATTTGCAGCAATAGCCAAAAATACATTGTATGGGTCAAAATTATAGATTTTTCTTTTATGTCAAAAATCATTAGGATATTAAGTAAAGATCATGTTCTATGAAGATATTTAGTAAATTTCCTACCATAAATATCTCAAAACTTAATTTTTGATAAGTAATATGCATTGCTAAGGACTTCATTTGCACAACTTTAAAGGCGATTTTCTCAATATTTTGATTTTTTTTGCACGCTCAGATTCCAGATTTTCATATAGTTGCATCTCGACCAAATATGGTCCTATCCTAACAAACCATACATCAAGCTCATTTATTCAGCTTTCAGATGATGTATAAATCTCAATTTTGAAAAACTGACACTTAAGACTGCTTTTGTGGTCCAGGGTCACATACATACTATGCACCAGAATTATTATTATTATTATTATTATTTACTTTGTGAGAAGAACATAGTATTGACCATGGTACTAATGTGAAAACCCATTATTTTCATGGTAAATTACTGTCATAGTGCTTATGATCATTTCATTACATATTAAATGTAATTAATTATAAATAAATGAATACTTGCTCCAGATTTGAAATGATTTCACTCTGTGTGAGGAAAGAAACAAGACAGTGGAAATTGTTCGGGGAAAAGCCATGCATTATGTATTCTATCATCATTACATAATATCTGCTGCTGAGAAATATTCGGTCAGAGTTTTGGGGCTCTCACTAGTTATAATAATATTTTACTATTTTTATCATAAAATATTATGTAATACAATAAATATTTCCATATAACAACTACATTTTAATTGACTTTATATGTAATAAAATTCATAACGTGATATTTTGGTATCATATATATATATAAAATACGTTTTTTTTATAGTTTGCATAATTAAAACTAATATTTATCGACAAAAATTATAGTAAGTCACCGTTAGGCATGTATTTGTTACATAAATAGGTGAGACTGTTGTAATAAACGCCGTTTACTGGCTATATCAAGATCGAAGTTCAAGTTCAAACTCAAGTTAAAAGCTCGGTGGTGTCGATCATCACCAGCAGACCGCGTGGGTCTGCACGACTCCAGCAAAGCGCCTCCCCTCGCTCGCGTTCTATCTCTCCCTCATTCCCCTGTGAATGCTGTGTAATGCTCAGTGACATAACTAGGTCAGTAGAACAGCAGGTTTGAGCGCTGCTCACACAGCCGGCCATGCTGCCCTGCAAAAACAACAACACGCATCCGACAAACCTCCATCTCCAACACTTACACTCAACAATATCACCACAGCCGCATAGAGCGAGGGTTTAACTCACAACAAGTCGCCTTTCGAGAAATATTTAGATTTAGGAGACTGGACGCGTCACCACATGGAGACATTTTAGCCAGCAAATACATTCATATTTATATTTCCAGGGAATATGTTATTGCTTGATACAGAAAAACCCTCCACTACTTTTACTCTCATTACGTTATAAAACAAACCTGTCAAACATGCCAAAATCACGACCAGCCGCTTCTGTGTCAGAATTCCATGAATTTGATACATTTGAACATCTTCCTATGAATCACTGTAACATTTGAGAGAGAGAAAATGGAACACCAAAGAACGTTTAAACGCGTTACAAAGTAACAAGTGGGCGGCTGCAAATGTGACAGGAAAGCGTTTCAATGTGCGTGAAAACATACGTGCAAACCTTTCTATAGCTAAATGTTTAAAAACTATTTAAAGAGCTTGTTAAAAGCAACATGCAACGTCTGCGTAATAGTTACATCTTACCTCTCATTTTAATCGCGGTTTCTTGATTCTCCAAAGTTCACTGGGTGCGGAGAAATATTGTTCAGACTAATATTAACATAACACAGCTACCCGAATGAAACTTTTCAGCTCCGAATGTGAGCATTATTAGGAAAATAAAATAGAAGAAAGGTCCACAAAGTAAATTCGCGTCTCTAAAGGTCTTCTGTTGCGCTTCGGGTACAAACAAATGAAAGTCGCTTTGGTCGTGTGTTATGGCGCGGTATGAACGTCGTCGTCGTCGTCGTCCTCCCTCTCCTCTCTCCTCTCACTCTACCCTGCTAACCTACTTTCAGACGCGTGGAGTCTCACATGATCCCACTGCCGCTCATCCACTCAGCGCTTAAGGTGGGACTACAATTCAGTCATTCAGAATGCTTTTCATTGTAACGCAGTCAAATCAATTGAATTAATTCAAAGTAAATTGGGTACTAGGGGACACTAGAGGACAGAGGACAACTGCACTGTAAAAAAAAGAAGAAAGCCACACTCTAAAAAATGCTGGGTTAAATAGTGTAGTACTCAAAGTGTAGGCCTAATGAATTTATGATTGCAGACTCGTTTTATCACCACTTTTGATTTGAAAAAATAAACCATAACTCAAATGTGCACTCTAAAAAATGCTGGGTTAAATACAACCCAGTGCTGGGTAAAATAGGGACAAACCCAGCAATTGGGCTGTTTTGACCCAGCGGTTGGGTTACTACCCAGAAGGTTGGGTTAAACATTTAACCCAACTGCTGGGTCAAAACAACCCAATTGCTGGGTTTGTCCCTATTTTACCCAGCACTGGGTTGTATTTAACCCAGCATTTTTTAGAGTGCACATTTGAGTTATGGTTTATTTTTTCAAATCAAAAGTGGTGATAAAACGAGTCTGCAATCATAAATTCATTAGGCCTACACTTTGAGTTGCATCTAAAGGGTTAGTTCACGCAAAAATTAATTACTCACCCTCATGTCATTCCAAGAAATTCCGTCTTCGGAACACAAATTAAGATATTTTGATGAAGTCTGAGAGCTCTCTGACCCTCCATAGACAGCAACACAACTGCAATGTTCCCAGCTCCAGAAACGTAGCAAGGACATCGGTAAAACAGTCCATGTGACATCAGTGGCCCAACTTCAATTTTGTGAAGCTACGAAAATACTTTCTGTGCACAAAGAAAACAAAAATAACAATTTATTCAACAATTATTTTCTCAGAGTTTTTTATTTATTTATTTTTATTCAGTTTATTTGTACAGGGACAACGCACAACAACAGTGTTGTGCCAGAGTTAGCTATAAAGCTCATTTGCATCTGCAGTCCCAGAGTTACCGCCTTCCGCCATTTTGAAGAGTACCGTGACACATGCGCGCGCTTTCCCCAGAACATAATCAACATAATCAGCATTTTTTATGTTCAGCATGTGTGTATTTTCTCGTTTTCGTTCTGGGGAAAGCACACACACTAAAAAAATGCTGGGTTATTTCAACCCAACTTTGGGTCAAATTTGGTTAAAAATTTAATGTAAAAATGTAACCCAACGGTTGGGTTAGTCCATATTTGACCCAAAGTTGGGTTGAAACAACCCAGCATTTTTTAGAATGCACACTTGAGTCGTGGTACTCTCCAAAATGTCGGAAGATGGGAACTCGGGGAGAAGAATTGTTTAATCAATTTTTTTTTCTTTGTGCACAAAAAGTATTCTCGTAGCTTTAAAATGTTTAAAGGGATAGTTCACCCAAAAATGAAAATTCAGTCATTAATTACTCACCCTCGTGTTGTTCCAAACCCGTAAGACCTTCGTTCATCTTCGGAGTACAAATTAAGATAATTTTGATGAAGTCTGAGAGCTCTCTGACCCTCCATAGACAGCAACACAACTGCAATGTTCCCAGCTCCAGAAACGTAGCAAGGACATCGGTAAAACAGTCCATGTGACATCAGTGGCCCAACTTCAATTTTGTGAAGCTACGAAAATACTTTCTGTGCACAAAGAAAACAAAAATAACAATTTATTCAACAATTATTTTCTCAGAGTTTTTTATTTATTTATTTTTATTCAGTTTATTTGTACAGGGACAACGCACAACAACAGTGTTGTGCCAGAGTTAGCTATAAAGCTCATTTGCATCTGCAGTCCCAGAGTTACCGCCTTCCGCCATTTTGAAGAGTACCGTGACACATGCGCGCGCTTTCCCCAGAACATAATCAACATAATCAGCATTTTTTATGTTCAGCATGTGTGTATTTTCTCGTTTTCGTTCTGGGGAAAGCACACACACTAAAAAAATGCTGGGTTATTTCAACCCAACTTTGGGTCAAATTTGGTTAAAAATTTAATGTAAAAATGTAACCCAACGGTTGGGTTAGTCCATATTTGACCCAAAGTTGGGTTGAAACAACCCAGCATTTTTTAGAATGCACACTTGAGTCGTGGTACTCTCCAAAATGTCGGAAGATGGGAACTCGGGGAGAAGAATTGTTTAATCAATTTTTTTTTCTTTGTGCACAAAAAGTATTCTCGTAGCTTCGCAAAATTGAAGTTGAGCCACTGATATCACATGGACTGTTTTAACGATGTCCTTGTCACGTTTCTGGGACTGGGAACATTGCAGTTGCGTTGCTGTCTGGGTCAGAGAGCTCTCAGATTTAATCAAAAATATCTTAATTTGTGTTCCGAAGATGAACGAAGGTCTTACGGGTTTGGAACGACATGAGGGTGAGTAATTAATGACAGAATTTTCATTTTGGGGTAAACTATCCCATTAACTAGTTTAAATAATAATAATAATAATAATAACCCACACACACACATATAAATTTTTTTGAAAATTTAGATTTTTTTATATGAGTTTCTTTGTCTGTTGAACACAAAGGAAGATATTTTGAAGAATATTGGTAGCTGAAAAGTTGACCATTGACTTTCATAGTAAGGAAAAAGTACTATCAATGGTCAATACCGTCAACTCATTCTTCAGAATATCTTCTTTTATGCTCAACAGAAGAAAGAAATTCATACAGGTTTGGAACAAGTAAAGGGTGAATAAATAATGTCAAGCCATCATTGATTCTGTTACGTTGCTGTTTAATACTGTGAAGCTGCTTTGAAACAATCTCTATTGCATAAAGCGCTACAAAAATAAAGGTGGCTTGGCTTGGCTTGACTACAGTCAGCTCACCGAGTCATTTTACAGTGTCCAGCTCACTGGAAACAATCAAAATGTCACATTTAAATGTTGGTTGCATTTATAATCAATGCCAGTTCTTTCCCATGCGCACACCACCAGACACCCATTAACGAGACATTCAAGGATTGCTCTGCAAAATGGCCCTTTTAGTAATCAAACCAGGCAGAAGAAATCCCTCAGTAATAACGCATAAATAAAAGCTGGTCCTATAATAGTTATGGCAGATGGTTATGCAATCCTTGGAGGCCTGCTGGAGGCTTGAACAGGCTAATTATGCATTATTCGTTTATTTTTGAAGGAGCCATCAACCCTTTAATAAATTTATATTAGGAGAGCTTCTTAAATGAAAATTGTCAATATAGCTGAAAAGGAGATATATTAATCACATTGTACCATTTCAGACAACCAAAAAAATAAATAAAAACGTGTTTCACATTCCATTCAACACAATCCAAGCACCTGGGCATCAAATGATGAGCCAATATGGGAGCCAAAAACAAATCCACATGTGCACCTTTCAAAATCCTAAATGGCAATGATGAGAAGAGAGCGACTGTGTGTGGAAAAGCTCGATGATGCAATTCTCCGGCAGGGGCTCTTATGAAACACAGAGAGAAGATTACAGTAAGTAGGTTAGTGGAGCAAGCAGAGAGCACACAGAGTGCTGCGTTTAAAGTGGCTCCCTGTTCGGCCTCCCCCCCCATCCGTCGCTCCGTCACCGTTTCATCCCTTTCCGCTTCTCGTGTCCACCTCCAGGCTTGAGGTCCTGGGGGATCTGCTTTTCTCCTTGTTGTCTCTTCTGATTCAATCTGTTTATTTCTATGCGTTCAGCAGACTGGCCTGCTGCGCCCCCTGCTACTCTCGGTCTTTCATCTCTCCTCTCATCCGCTCATCTTTCTTGCTCATGCAATAAACATCACGGCTGCAGAAGAAAGTAATCCACCCATAACATAACAGTTTTATTCTTGATTACACACGTATGAATGATAACAGCGATACAAAAGATGTCTATTGCTACATCTTTTGTCTTCGTTAAGTTGTTCGATTTTCTACATTCAACCTTTCCTGTGTTCCCTCATGCGTGTTCAGTAACTAATAGCAACAGCCGTGACATTCTGACCCTAAACTACACAAACGCAGTTAGCGAAGGGATGGGGCAGGGCTGAGCGAACCCAATCGCTACAACGGGTTTGAGAAACAGTGAGAGAGAATATAAAAGTACACTTATGATTCATGATAGATGGATGTGAAGAATAATAAAATGTTTATAGGAAGGCATCTACAACTGACATTTTACAAAAACAGATGTGAGGCTGCAAATAGATGGATTAAAATCTATTACAGGTACAAAAGGTCAATGAATGCAGGAGTTGCACAGTTGGACGCCTTACAGAAATAATCTATGTTTATTCTGAAGATAGAGTTGGTAGTGTTTGCTAATGCTTTGATTTAAACAAAGCCTTAGTAAAAGTATAAAACAAACAAAAAATACAAGTGTAAGTTTATTTTTCTGCTCATCAATACAAAGACAAGGTAAATACATGAGAAAAATTCACACTGCAATCACATAATAGATCATTAACCCTGTAAAGCCTGACATATGAAATAATTGTCAGATTTATTATTTAAAAGGTTTATTGAACTTTAGAAAAAAAAAAAAAAAAAAAAAAAACTAAAAATTTTACTTTTTGTTGAGCATCATATTTCATACATCAGGTTTCTATGGCTCATATAGTATTTTTATGGCCAAAAAGACAAAATTCTGACAGCTTGTAAACTAATATAAGATACTGCATTTATAACAATATAGCAGACTACTTACATAAAATGCATATAAATATCAGTAATCACTCTAGATCTCCTAATAATGGGTCTTAGTAAGATGACATTTAAAAGCTCTTTTTATTATAGAGGCAAAACATAATGCAATGCAACACAATGTTGACCGAAAGATGAACAAATAAGCATTCCTCAAAAGCCTGATGGATCGTATTTGATACTCATATTTTAACATCATTTTCTTAAAAATCCTGTATGTTAAGTTTCTTGAATCCAGTGTGGTAGTTTTGAATGGAATTGTCGTATTTTTAAA